GATGGGGGGACCTGAGACACACAGGGGGGACCTGGGACAGATACGGGGGAGCCTGGGGGACAGATGGGAGGAACCTGGGGTAGATGGGAGGGGACCTGGACAGATGGGAGGGGTCTGGGGCAGGCTGGGGCTGACTCTGTAGTAGATGAGGGGCGATCTGAACATACGGGAGGGGTCTGGGACAGACTGGGGGACCCTGGGGTTGGTCCCCCTGGGGGAAAACTGGGCGGCGCATGGGGGGATCTGGGGTAGATGAGGTGGAGCGTGGTTAAATGTGGGCAGCCTGGCACAGGGGGGAAGGTGCATGGGGGACACACAGGGGGGACCTGGGGGAAGACTGGGGGGCGACCAGGGACAGATGGGGGGGATCTGGGGCAGATGGAAGGGGCTGGGGTAGATGGGGCGCACTGGGATGGGTAAAGGAGGGCACTGGGGCAAACTGGGGGCAGCCCGGGGTAGGTATGGGGGGAACTGGGGCAGACTGGGGAGATCCAGGGGGAGAGAGGAGGGTCTGGGGGCAGCTGGGGTCAGATGGGGAGAGCCCAAGGTGGTGTTTGGGACACTCGGGGGGTACCGAGGGATGGGTGGGAGGGAAAAACCTTCGGGCACTCTGGGAATGACTCCCAGGCCGGCAGCTGAACCAGCCCCGCCGTGCCTCAGTTTCCCCGCTCAAAAACCCGGGATAACAGCGGGATCAGAGGGCGGGGCCATGCCAGTGACTTCCACACAGCTGCCAGGAGGCCCTGGAGTGGCTCAGATCTGAATTTAGGGGTTTGGTCACCCCGAGGTGCCCTGGGGGCGCTGTGGCTGTGGGAGAGCTGGGAGCAGATGGATGGGATGGGAATGAGCCATTCCCACACGTGGATTCCTCCTTTCCTATGAAGGGGCTAAAACCAGACTCAGATTCTCCTGAACCTCCTCATTTACCCTCAAAATACACCCCGGGAAGGGCTCGGGGAGGCAGGGGAGCTTACTGGGACAAAGGAGGGAAAATCAGCCAAAATCAGCCAAAATCAGCCAAAAGTGGAGCTGAACCTCTGGCTGGGGGGAGCAGGGATACGGCTCCCCAAAAATCCCACAAATCCCCCGCTGGGCATCCTCCCGCTGCCCCTGGGGTTGGAACCTCAGGGAACACTCGGGGGGGAGTGAGAAATACCTCGGGGGGCTCTGGGGGGACCCCACCTGAGTGACTCCATTCGGTTTTAATTGTCCTGTAATTAGCAGAATCCAAATTAATTCTTTTAAAGTGCATTTATAGAAGGAGTGAGAAGTGAGGAGGGGGGAGCAAAGCCCAGGGGAAGGTGGGGAGGGGTTCCCGGGCTTGGGGGCGAAGAGGGGGCCCGGGGGCATCCCAGGGACACTGGGGAGGGTCCCGGAGAAGGGGGGGTGGGAGGATCCCCGGGACAGTTGGGTGGCCCCGGAGCAGCGGGGGTCCCATGCAGGGGGTCCATGGGAGGTCCGGGGACAGGAGGTGGCTTTGGGGCTGGGCTGGGGGAGTCCCAGGGACACTGGAGGGTCCCAGGGACACTGGGAACCCCCGGCCCGGGGGGTGTCACAGAGCAGTGGGGTCCCGGCGACAGAGGGGGATCCCCAGGGCAGGGGGTTCCCGGCCTGGGGCTGTTGTCCCCAAACAGGGGATCCTGGTATCAGGGATGTCCCTAAACAGGGGGTCCCGGTGTCAGGGATGTCCCCAAGGACGGGGTTCCGGTGTCAGGGGTGTCCCCACACAGAGGGTCCCGGTGTCAGGGGTGTCCCCAAGGAGGGGGTCCCGGTGTCAGGGGTGTCCCCACACAGGGGTCCCGGTGTCAGGGGTGTCCCCACACAGAGGGTCCCTCTGGCAGCCCGGCCCGGGCGCGTTGCTGGGGCTGCACCGCCCCGCCGTGGCCGCCGCCACCCCTGCAGGGACCGGGCCAGGGCCGCAGGGTCCCCGCGGGTCCCCGCCGAGGGATGGCACCCAGGGGTGGCCCCTGAGGGGTGCCGGGGTTTGCCGGAGCCCACAGGAGGGGCTGGGGGGGCGGAGGGCGCTGCCACCGGGTCCTGTCCTCGCTACGACAGCGGTGGCAGCGGCAACCCCGGTCCCCTCGTGTCCCCTCGTGTCCCCTCGTGTCCCCTCGTGTCCCCTCGTGTCCCCTCGGTGCGATGGGTGTCACAGCAGATCCCGGCTGAGGTGACAGGTCCCTTCTCATCCCTTCTCCAGCAGCAATCACCAGCCGAGCTCAGGAGGGACCGAAGCAGGGCCAGCACGGGGCACCTGTGACCTTCCCGGGCCGTGTCCCCTCTGTCACCCTGCAGGGCCAGCAGCTCTGGGTGAGAGCCGATCCCATTCCCCAGCACCCCGGGGTGGGAAGGGGACCCAGAGCCGATCCCATTCCCCAGCACCCCGGGGTGCCCAGGGCTGAGCCCGGACCCGCAGGAGTTTGGGGAACAAACAGAGCCTGGGCACGCTTCCCTTCCTCTCCAGCCTGACTTGAACGCTCAGTGCTGAATTAAACATTAAAAATAGATTTATACCCGGTGTAAGCCTGCAGCTGGCTGAGCTCCACAGGCACCCCAGATAAATGAGGCTGTGAAGAGCTCAGACACCCAAAGAGCTCTGAAACCCCAAAGGACGAGTGCCCGTGCCCCTCCCTGGTGGCACAGGGTGGCTTCAAATCTTGGGCAGAAACGGTGTCAAAACCCAAATTCCTGCTGAATTTAACACCAACGGGGCTGGGAACAGATCAATCCCAGTGTGGGGTTCCCAAATCAGTCCCAGTGTGGGGTTCCAGACCAATCCCAATTCCCAATTTGGGGTTCCCAGATCAATCCCAGTGTGGGATCCCAGATCAATTCCAGTGTGGAGTTCCCAGATCAATTCCAATTCCCAATTTGAGGTTCCCAGATCAATCCCAGTCTGGGGGTTCCAAATCAATCCCATTGTGGGGTCTCAGATCAATCCCAGTGTGGGATCCCAGATCAATCCCAGTTTAGGGGTCTCAGATCAATCCCAGTGTGGGGTCCCAGGGGTGTTGGCCCTGCTGAGGGGTGGGAGGAGTCCAGGCCACCCTTTCCACGACGTGCTAAGCCAAAATCAGTAATTTCCTGTGAAATGGGCATTTTCTTGCCCTCCATCACTTGGCCACACGTGACCCAGCCTCCACACATTCCCAGATTCATCGGCATTCCCCAAATGTCCCCCTGGAAATGGTTTGAAATGCAGCAGAGGGACAGGGAAGGTCCCAGATGCTGCAAATGGGGGAAATTGGTGGGAAAGAGAGCTGGATTTTGGGGTTCTGTTCACACAGGGGAAAAAATGGGGAGGTGGAGCTTCCCTAAATAGGGAATTGGGGGAACAGGGAGATCAGGACATCATGGGGGCAGCAGGGGATGAGTGGGGGTAGAACCATCAGCTCCGTGGAGGGGTGGGAGGACAAAAAGAATCCATGTGGAGAAGCACCAGGGAACAATTCCTTCCCCAGATCCCATCCAGCCCTGCCCTCTGGCACTGGAAGCCATTCCCTGTGTGCTGTCCCTCCATGCCTTGTCCCCAGTCCCTCTCCAGCTCTCCTGGAGCCCCTTCAGGCCCTGCCAGGGGCTCTGAGCTCTCCCTGGAGCCTTCTCCTCTCCAGGGGAGCACCCCCAGCTCTCCCAGCCTGGCTCCAGAGGGGCTCCAGCCCTGCAGCAGCTCTGGGGTCTCCTCTGGGCTCTCTCCAGCGGCTCCAAATTCTTCATTTTGGAGGTTCCAGGGCTGGGGCAGCTCTGCAGGTGGCATCTCAGGAGAATCCCCCATCCCTGTGCCCTGAGGAGCTGGCTCAGGATGGGACCCCAATCCTCCACTTTAAAATCATCTCTGGGTGTTTTCTCCCCGCAAGGAAACACCAGCTCAGCTCTTTCAGGGTGTCAGACTCACAAAAAAACCCCAGAAATAAATCCATTAAAAATCCCCTTTCCCTGTTCTCCATCTCAACTCTCCAGCACAGCTCCAGCTCCTTCCTCATGTTCTGCTCCTGGGTCAAAGTTCCAAATTCCAATTCAACATTCCATGAACAGCACAGCTCCAGCTCTTCCCTGTGTCCTACCCTGGACTGAAGCTCCACTTAAACTAAATTATTAACTCCACTGATTCCATGAAAAGCACAGCTCCAGCCCTAACCCGTTTCCTTGTCCGACAGTGAAGCTCCAAACTCCAACTAAATGAAAATCACAGCTCCAGCCCTTCCCTGTCTCCTGCTCCTGGACTGAAGCTCCAAACTCCAACAAACGATTCCATGAAACCCAGGGCCAGATTCCAAAGTTCTGTATTTTTCAAAATAAAGATCACACGTTGTTTAGAGACAATCTACACAAGAGTTACAAAAAATAGTCGCCCAGGCAGAAGCATACACAGGTTTGTTAATTATACACATATGGTTACAAGTGTGCTTGCAAAAAAGTTCATTGGAAATATACACA